GGATTGAGAAGGGGATCCTGCAAAAGGAGAGGCACAAAAGGATACACAACAGGCTCGTGCACCTAGTGATAAATAGCATGCATAGGCGAGGCAGCAGGCATAATATTAGTGATAGAGAAAGTTATATGCTCCTCGCCATCTCTCAAGACCAAAGTCCCGTCACGGACATCTATGAGGGCCCTGGCGGTGGCCAGGAAGGGCCTTCCTAGAATAAGGGGCACTTATGTGTCTTCATTGATGTCTAAGACAACAAAATCCACAGGATAACAAAATATGCTAACCTTAACCAGGAGGTCTTCCACTATGCTACTAATTGAATACTCATCCTAGTTGCACTGGGTTCACCTAGACCTAGTTTTTTGAACAATTTGTATGGGATAACATTGATACTATCACCTAGATCCGCCAGGGACCTCTCTACATGTAATTTGCCAATGGAGCACGGGATAGTAAAATTACCTAGGTCCTTTTGCTTCTCTGGCACCTTGCTCTGCAGAATGGCCGAGCACTCCTCACTTAGCATCCCTGTCAAGAGATCCCCAAGTCGCTTTTTGTTGGTGAGGAGGTCCTTCATGAATTTGGCGTACTTGGACATCTTCAACAGTGCCTCCATGAATGGTAGGCTGATGTTGACCTGCGTCAGCATTGCCATGAATTTGGCAAACCCAATCTCCAACTTGTCCTTGTGTAGTCGAGTGGGGAAGGGAAGCTGGGGGGACATGCTCCTTAACCACTAGTTGTGGCTTGGGAGCAAGTGCTTCCTTCTCCATCCCTACTCCTGCATCGTCGGCTGGAAGTGTTGAGACAGGTAGTGCCTCCTCTGCCTGGCCGAGGCAGGTACCGCCGATGTTGTCCTCCCACTCATGGTAGTGATGGCATTCAGCTGCTGGTGAGGTTCGCGAGGATTGTGGATGGTGGTGGCAGGCAGAGTTCCTGGTGCCCTGGTATGGTTCTGGCGAGCTATTTCTCCAATCTCATTCTGGTGGTCCTACAATATGGCACCTTGGTTCCTCTGGCCTGCCTCCAACGAAGTGATTCTCTGTTTCATCCTGGCGAAGTTTTCCTGACTAGTAGTCATGAACGCTTGCAGAATGTTTTTCATCTCCGTTATCTGATTATCTGGAGCTGGAGTTGTTGGTGGCGGGGCATATTGGCGCTACGGCTACGGAAATGGATCCTGCCGAGCCTGGAAGGGCTGCCGCTGCTGAAATCCACCAGCTGGTGCTGGGAAACAAGGTGGTTTAGTGGTGTTGTTGTTATTGCCATTCCAAGAGAAGTTGAGATGCTGGCACCACCCTTCATTATATGTTCTACTGTAAGGATCAAGGCGCCGAGCATTGGCGATAAAGCCAACTGCTCTTGGGGTGTAGAAGACTCCCGCATAGCCTGGCAGTCTTCCACCAGATGGTTCGAACTCTCACACCACTAACATTGTGCAACTGAAGGCCCGGCCAACCCTTTACCCGGAATAAGACTATTGGGTTGCTTCAATGTCTGGACCAACTCGGCCACATCCTGCTCTAGCCCGGACCTAGCCTCCATGGCATGCACACCTCGGTCTCGGGAATTCCTTCTTCTGGTGCTCTGCCCCCAAGAATGATCCCTGGCAGCCAGAGTACTGATCATCTGATTCAGCTTGGGTGGAGTCTTGGTGAGAATATCCCCTCCTGGGCATAGAGACCCAATCACCCTCTGGCTTTCCGGAGAGAGAGCATTGTAGAAGTTCCCCTTTGTGAATGCATCACTGAAACCGTTATGGGGACACTGCCAGAATAATCTCGAGTACCGCTCCCAGGCATCACGTAGTGACTCATCTGGCTCTTGGCGGAAATGAGTGATCTCCTGCTGAATCTATGTGGTCTTCGAGGCCGGATAGTACCTGTGCACAAACTTGTCGACCAGGTCGTCCCATGACGTGATGGATAGTGGGGACTGGGTCTCTAACCACCTCTTCGCATGCCCCGCCAGAGAATAGGGAAAAAGGTGGAGACGAATCGCATCATCGGGTACATCATTCATTTTGAATCCAATTGTCAGCTGCAGGAACCGGGAAAGGTGCACCCTTGCATCTTCATCCTTCAAGCCATGGAACTGGATAGAGGATGTGATCAGTTGAATCCACCATGGCTTGATCTCAAAGTTATTTGCTGGGATGGGATGATACAGGATGACGGGGCGGATGTTGGCGACCCGTGGAGTGTAGTAGTACTCCATAGTAGGAGTCGGCGGGGGTGTGGATGTTGAGCCCCATCTTCTTGGGGAACTGGGTTGTTTGCCAGGATTTGATTCACTGGGGGAACCTGCACGGGCATCCCTAGGGGTTGATTCTGCCCCAGGTTAAGGTTCTCCCTATTGTGCTCGTCGCCCATCTTGTATCCTCTTCTGAGTCGCTGCTCAGATGACCGTCGACGTGCACTTCCTCCGTAGCCAGTCTTGCTCGTTGTTGTCTCCTTAGCTGGCGACAGGTGCATTCTAGCTCCGGATCTAATGGTAGTAAACCTCCCGGCTGGCTATGAGTCATGCACTACCTCCACACAGCCAAGCAAGCAAATACGTGAAGGCACAAGTGGGACAAAGCAAACAGTCAATGCGGAAAAGAAATGCTAAAGTAACAGAAATCACGTTTCTTCAACAACCTAGCCGTCCCAGGCAACGGCGCCAAAAACTTGACACGCTTCTACCGTCACACTAGAAAGTGGCCAAGTGTAACCACCTGCTAATGCGTAGTATAGCAAGTTTAGTTAAAATGTCAACCTGGGTCCTAGGTGTGATGACTACTCCGTGAAAATCTTATTATTTAGCGGTTCAAGTGTAGTGAAGGTCTAACTAAACTAGCAAGCAAAAACAGTGAAAGTTGTGTTCAAGTTGAGAGAGGTCACCCAGATATGGTTCCCTCTAGACTGCAGTTATGTCAGTTGTAATTCACCAAGTTCAAGTTCAATGATAGTTATACCGCGGTAGATTCTTAGACAATCTGCAGTCTCGACTAAAGGTCTCCAGACCCTCTCAAACTGAGTCCCCAGCGGGCGACTAACCTCCACCGGAGTAAACAGATTGAGGCCCTAACGAACGAAACCTCCTCTACCGGAGTAAATCCGGTACATAATAGTAAATTGACTCCTCGACTAAAGTTGTCAATTCACTACCTTCAATCAAGGGTGTTCTATCAACCTAGGCAGATATTCTCTTTCTAGGTCAGAGAAGAAATAACAGGAATTTGATTAGGATTCATGCCATTCAGGAAATCAAACCTCAATTGAATATAATCAATATCAATGAATTCGTACTTGGGTTCATACAATCAGACCTAACATACAAATCTAGGGTAATTCATACCCAGGTGAGTGAGAGAGTTTACTCCATAGATAGAAAAGGGAAATCTAGCTCAGATGCAGAAAACATGTTGTGAAGGATGAGATTATGCTTCTGGCAATCAATCGACATTTCTCCAAGCTTAAGCCAAGCTCCAATGGTGATGAAGATCTATCTAGGGCGCTTGGAGATTCTGGTTCGTAACTCTCTCTCTCTCTCTCTAGGTATCTCCTTTCTTTCTCTAAAACTCGGAACCCTTGTAAAATTGGCCTTCTTTCCCTGGTCGGGTATTTCTGCTGCCCGGCCGAGTATTTTGAAATGCAGCGCAGTGGGGAAAGGGAAATACCCGATCGAGGTTCAGAATACCCGATCGGATATTTTAGCTATCCGGTCGGGACCCCTTCTGGAATTCTGGCTTCCAAAACGTGTGATCCCCGGCCTCCTCTTGCATTTTACCCGGTCGGGTATTTTAATTCCCGACCGCGTATTTTCTTCTTCCAATGCCCCTTCACTCTAGCGTCCTCCTTTTTTACCCGAAACTCGCTTCCTTCGCCCCTTCACTCTAATGTCCTCCTTTTTTACCCGAAACTCGTTTCCATGCCTCCATATCAACGCCAAGTCCTGAAATATGACATAAATCGGCTTAAGACATGGGAATGGACTCTCAAACTGCTCAAGAATGGAGGTATAAACATGTGCAATTAATGGTCTATCAAGTACAACAACATTTTTTTTGTAATGTGAACTAACAACTATGATTGCAATGGGTCTGACTGAGTTGTGTTTCTTCCAGAATATGTACCCGCCAAATAAGTAAAAACCCAACAAAACACACTGATTTAAATGAGAAATTCCAACACAGTATCTGCAAGTGTATGGGTATCATAGGTTCATGACATAAATATGGAGTAAATTGCATGGTTGGTCACTGTAATTACAAAAAATGTTCTTGTTTGATCACTAAAAATATTTAATTTCATTCGTGGTCACTAAAATTAGTTAAACATTCCAAGTTTGGTCACTCTCTGTCAAACTCCGTTAACTTTTGTGTATGTGGCAGTAAACTCTTATAGTTGACCGTTCAATGTGTGACATGACAATTAAAAAATAATAAAATAAATAAATTTAATTTTTAAAATTTTCACCTCATTTCTATTTCTAACTATTGTAAAGATAAAAAAAAATTAAAAAAGCACTCTCCGCCGCTATGTTCTTCGGCATCCATAACCATAGACACCATCCATAGCTGGAAGAGAGGAACAAGAAGAGATCCTCAATTTCCAGGGGCAACAACAACGAAGGGATGCTCTCATTCTCTTCCGCTTAATCCTGCCTTCCTCCGGCACAACCAAATCCACCATCGTAGCAGGCTCTGACCACTCCGATATCTAAGTATCGTTGTTAGAGAAGTAGACTCTAGTTGAGTCGTGGAGCCTGAAAAGCGACAGAGAAAGCGAGGGAAGAAACAGGTCAACTGCTACTGCTGTTAAACAATGGAGGAAACTGGCCCACATCCGCAACCAAATACCTCATCCCGCGCCCGTACGACCCTTTCGCCGCGAGGCTCGGCTCCAACGGAAGCTCCACGAGGAACGAATGTAAGTCCGTGATGTGTCAATGGAACCCATTCATCGTGTTGGCCTTAATTGTCCTCAGATCAATATCCTCCACCGGGTAGAAACTCCTCGATGTGTCCAGCAGAAACCCCCTGGGCGGGGCACAAGGGCGCGTCGCTGGTCTTCACCCCGATCGGCATGTGTCGCCCCCAGACCAGCTGGGAGGTCTCCAGCCCCCTCAAGGCCCCCCAAACGATTGGCGGCGGTGAGATTTGCGGCGGCAACATGATTGGGTATAGAGAGGGTGTAGGATCCGTCGATGTCGTGGATGAGCGTGGCGGCGAGGTCAGCGACGGAGATTGAGATTTTATAGATCCTACAGCCTCTGCTTCAGACGATCTGTCGCCGCCACCGCTTCAGTCTTCACTGGCTAGGCGACACGACGACGAGAAGAGAGATTGAGAGGCGGTGATGGGGAAATGCAGGGTGGAAGGCTAGGGTTTTTTGGATTATAAAAAATTAATTTCTTTTTAATATTTTAATAGTTGGAAATGTGGTGGAAATTTAAAAAAAATATTTTTTAATTGTCATGTCATGCATTTAACGGTCAACTATCAGAGTTGACTGTCACATAAGCAAAAGTTAACGGAGTTGGACGGAGAGTGACCAAACTTGGAATGTTTAACTAATTTTAGTGACCACAAATAAAATTAAATATTTTGAGTGACCAAACATGAACGTTTTTTGTAATCTCAGTGACCAATCATGCAATTTAACCCATAAATATGTGACTTGCAAATAATTCCTTTGAACATTCACATCATTATATTATTGAAGTCTTTCTTACCACTCATTGTTATAAAGACTAATAACATTGATAAATTATCTATCTTAATATTAGGTTGTCATGAAAACTAATAATATGAATACGAGATAGATGCACCATTTTGCTTTATTAGGTAAAATCCGCACTCGAACCAAAGTAAGTCAAAGTTTTAATCAATTTGACCAAATCCAAAACTGGTTTGAGTACTCACTGACCCACATTCCCGAGTTCAATCGCCAATCGCTACTAACATGTGGCAAGAACTAGATCCATGACCTCACATTTCTGATAGCAATCAAGCTTCCTAGTCAACTTAGTAGTGAGCAGTGGGTGCGATTAAACAACATCAAACAAAATTCGGCCACTGTCTTATGTCATTGTTCAAGCTTAATGTGAAAACAGGGGAAGAAACCAACACTCTCCAGCCAGTTGTATTTGCCGCCCCTGCTTTTTGTTTCCTCTGCCGCTCGTTGCCTGTTTCCACCTCCGACACCGAGTATGGCAACCCAAATCGAATCCCTTGGCTCCGAATTCGACCGGAAATCCGCACTGAAGGCCTTCGACGACTCAAAATCCGGCGTCAAGGGACTCGTAGAAGCCGGCGTCACGAAAATCCCGCCGATATTCCTTCACCCACTACACAACGCAACAGCTTCCGTCAAGTCAACTACAGGGGAGACTTCTCCGGAGCCGCCAGTCATCCCGACCGTTGACTTGCAAGGCATCGACGGCGACCCAGATCTACGCCACCAGGTGATCGGGCAAGTACGAGACGCCTGCCGGCGATGTGGATTTTTCCAGGTGATCAATCACAGGATACCCTCACTGCTTCTTGATAAGATAATTCAAGGAGTGAAGGATTTCCACGAACAAGAAACTGAAGTGAGGAAAGGGTTCTACACCAGGGACTTCGCCAACAAAACGGTGACGTACAATTGTAATTTTGATTTCTACCAGTCGCCGGCGGCGAACTGGAGGGATACCATCAGCTGTGTCACGGCGCCACGCCCACCAAACCCTCAAGAACTCCCTCCAGCTTGCGGGTACGTTATAATTCTCTGCTGTCAAAATTCTGGTTGTAAGTGGTTCGATTCAAGGACTAATTGATATGATCAAATCTTCTGCGCAGGGAGATAATGGTTGATTACTCGAACCAAGTGATGGGATTGGCAAGGAAGCTGTTTGAATTGGTTTCTGCAGCATTGGGGCTGGACCCTAATTACCTTAACAACATAGGTTGCTCGGAAGGGCTGATGCTTCTGGGTCATTACTACCCGGCTTGTCCTGAACCAGACTTGACAATGGGAACCAGCAGTCACACAGACAGCAGCTTTCTTACTGTGCTTCTGCAAGACCAAATTGGGGGTTTACAGGTCTTTTGTGATGATAAGTGGGTTGATGTGAAGCCCACAACAAATGCTCTTGTTATAAATATAGGAGACATGTTGCAGGTAAAAAACCTGGACCGGGGTTTGGGAATCATGTTATGGAGTCTTTGCTTAAACAAGTTTTGGTTATGAATCTCAGTTTTTGGTGGGAATGTGTGTTGCAGTTGATCTCTAATGATGAATTCAAAAGCTCCCAACACAGAGTACTTGCTAAATCAATAGGCCCCAGGGTTTCAGTGGCTTGTTTCTTCAGACAGCAGCTGCATCCTGAGAACTCCCGAGTTTATGGCCCGATTAAGGAGCTTATATCGGACGGGAATCCCCCGGTTTTCAGGGAAACCACCGTGAAGGAGTTTGTTGACCATTACTATGCAAAAGGGCTTAATGGGATCTCTGCCGTGGAGCAGTTTAGGGTCTGAATTCTTGGAACCATGGCAGAGAACAATCATTTGATACGGAATAAATTTGCTATCTTGCTAGAGCTGGATGTTCGGGTAGAAATGAAGTCTGGTTTCTGTGTAAATGGTTTAGGTTTCCACTTTCTTTTTCTATGATCTGTGATCCCCTGTGATGCTAATGGCCAAGTAAACTTTCTATATCGTTTGATAAATCCTGTATTCTCAGCATGCAATCTGTAGAACTGAGTGAAATACAAGAATCATTAAGGGGTTCTTTGACAAATAGTCTGTCCCAAGTGATTATGAGATTAGCCAGTTGATAACATTTCATCTTTTACCTTAATTCATGGATAGAGATATCAATTCATCTCAACACAGTCTTGATGGAGCGATTTTGAGCCTAACTTCGAATCCTGATATCCCAATTCCGAGCGCTGTAACGTGGAATTCTCGCCATCTTCCCCGCTGCCTATGAAGCGCATGTCATTATTGGCAAAGAGGTAGGCAATTTTGATCCTTCTTTCTCTGGACAAGGAAAAACCCTTATAAGGATAGATGACTTCAGCTACTATTCTGGCGGGCCTCAGTTAGTTGGATGGATAGGCAAAGCTGGATCCGGCTGTGGGACCCTAAGATTCTTACTAAGCTGAAAGTCTTTGTCTGGCAAATTCTTCATCGGGCTCTGCCAACCACGGAGGCTCTCATTGAAAAGAAGGTTCCTGTGTTGCCCCAGTGTCCAGTATGTTGGGATGGTCCCGAGACTATGGAGCACATGTTTCTTTACTGTCCGGTCGCGCGGGCTCTCTGGGACTACTCGGGATTTGACTATTTAGGGGAGGGTTTGCCTCGGCATACCGTTTCCGTTATTTCTTAAGCGGATGCTCGCCCTTGTCCACCACCCGTCGCTGTTTATGGTTGTGGTTGCCATCCTTTGGCGGATCTGGCGATCACGGAACTGGGTTGTCTTTGAAGGCAAACAGTTTGGGATTCCGGCTTTAATGCGCCAATTTCACCAGCAGTACGAGGAATGGGTGGGTCTGTCGGTTGACCAGCCGACGAGGATATCCTGCCCGGTGGTTCAACCAGGAACCCAAGTGGTTGATTCTCGTCTGGTTTGCATGTGGGATGGGCCCACTAGGAGGGGGTCCCACTCGGCTGGTGGGATGGTTCTTTTTGATCCGGGGTGGACGCTCCTTAGGGCTAAAGGTGTGCAATTTGCGCAAATTGATGAGCCACTGGTAGTGGAGTTGCTTGTGCTTCGAGAGACTATCATATGGTATTTAGAGGGTGACTTGTCCGATTAGGTTCGAGGGTGATGCGAAGGTCATTATTGATAATATTAATCAAGCCGACACGAGCGACAGTCACTTGGGGGCAGTCCTGGAAGAGATTTATCAGTATTTTCTTGCCCCATCCGGGGTTTAGTGTGCGGTTTGTAGGTCGGGAGAACAATAGGGTAGCTCATTCGGTAGCTAGAAAAGCCCTCTCTTTGTACCCGACTGTAAATCATTTTTTTTTATTTCAGTGTCTGGCTGCTATCCAGGATATAACTATCTTTTTATTCCGCTACCATTCAGACACCACTCAGACAAACTCTGCAGCTTTTTGTCTAGTTGTAGATCTGGCAACTAAAGATAAAATTGTTTGTCTTTTTAAGTGGATGATTCCTCAGTTCAATGCATTGCATTTGTCGCCTTATATCTTGTCGAATGTCATCCACGTCATTAGTGGTACTAGTAAACAAAATTCCACTGCACTTTGCCAGCCATCAGCTGCATACTCTTGACTGGAATCTCAACGGCTCACAAAATACTAGTCTCAGCTCTTCAATGCGTAAGCTTCCATATTCGGCTAACATTTTCTGTATCCACTTCACCCCTGAGCTTGACTAAGGAAAAGGGTGGGAAAGAACCAGGATGGTGAGCACCAATTCAGCAAAATCGGAGAGGCAGGCCGAACTGCAGGCTTTCGACGATACAAAATTGGGCGTAAAAGGCCTCGTTGATGCTGGAATAGCTGAGCTGCCAACGATATTCAAGCATGATCCTTCCACGATCAATGCAGATCCAGTTTCAGAGTCTGCCAAATTCACCATACCAGTCATAGACTTGGGAGGCCTGAAGGATGCTGATCCACATTCACGAACTGCCGCAGTTGATAAGATCCACTATGCCTGCTCGGAATGGGGGTTCTTTCAGGTGATCAATCATGGCATCACGGAGTCGCTCCTGCAGAGAGCAATTAATGGAGTTAGAAAGTTTCACGAGCAGGAGAGTGAGGTCAAGAAAGAATTCTACAGTAGGGATGAAGCAAGAAAGGTCATGTATAACACCAACTTCGATCTGTACCAAGCTTCAGCGGCTAATTGGAGGGACAGTTTGTACTGCCTTATGGCTCCTGTGCCTCCACATCCTGAAGATTTGCCGTCCATTTGTAGGTATGCAAAACCATGATATTACCTTTTTCTTCTTTGAATTAACATTACCATGTAGTTTCAATTTCTCGATTTCTGGCTTTGAGAGTTAAGACAGAAATTGGTAGACCCCGTCTGATCTATGCATCCCATTGTCTTGTTTCATGCTTTGACTGATTCACTTATTCGATTAGGCCAAATGTAGGTCGGATTCATTTGAATCGCTTCAGATCAACACTTGTATGATCACAATCAAAACCACATTATTGCAAGTTATCAAAATCACTATTGCTGTGAATTGTTTGATGTTCTTGAGTCTACAAAATTGGTTAAAAAGAATCGTCTGATCCATTCATTCACGTGCATATCTATCAACCGCCAGACTGGAAGATGCTCCTGGTTCTAGATGATTAGTAATGCAGATATCTATCTACTAACTTGTGACTTCTTTACACACCTCAAAATTCTATGGCACTGATGGTTTTGCAGAGATGTAATAATCGACTATTCAAGAGAAATGAAGCAATTGGGGCTAACCATTTTCGAGTTGATCTCCGAAGCTCTGGGACTAGAATCCAATCATCTCAGAGACATGGGCTGCGCCGATGGACTTTATCTGATAGGCCATTACTACCCGCAATGTCCCGAACCAGACTCGACACTGGGAGTCAGCAAGCACACGGACAGCGCCTTTCTCACAGTAGTCCTCCAGGATCAAATCGGCGGGCTGCAGGTCCTTCACCAAGGCCAATGGGTCGACATCAATCCCATCCCTGGATCCCTAGTCGTCAACTTGGGAGACATGTCTCAAGCAAGTTCCATACACAAAAAAGATTCAAACTTTATGCCACCAATCTAATCCTGAAGCTATTTCTAATCGAGGGTTTCTGCTTTTTTTTCGTTACAGCTGATCACGAACGACAAGTTCAAAAGCGTGTACCATAGAGTGGTGTCGAAGAGCGTCGGACCCAGAATTTCCATCCCTTGCTTCTTCAGAACGCACCATCAATACGAAGGTAGCGAGAGGGTGTATGAGCCGATCAAGGAAATATTGTCGGAAGAGGAGCCGGCGAGGTATAGGGCGACGACGATACGAGAGTATGTGACCTGCGTCTACTCCATTGGGCTTGACGGCAAGGATAAATTGAGGCATTTCAGGCTGTAACTGTCGGCCGAAATCGTAATGGACGTTTGCGGCTCAATAAGTATTGGGCTCTTGTTTCTTGGGTTAAACATGGTTAAGGTCGTCGGCTTGACTCTTGAGCTTGTTACTGTTGTTTTCTGTTGTATTTTTGGAGTGACACGTAACCTTGCTGTTGTCACGCATGACGTAATATTGAATTGTCAGACTTTGTCCAAACGTTACCTGATGTATGTGTGCTGGTCGGTAGGGTTGTGAATGAGTCGAGTCGAGTTTTGCCTTGTTCAAGTTTGGTTCGTTTATAAACGAGTCGAACTCGAGCTGAGTTGAGTCGAACACGATCTAGCTCATTAATTAAATCTTGACTCATCATTAAGATCGAAAGTTTGACTTGAGTTCAATTCTAAGATAATTTATAAAATAAATACCATAATTTATAAAATGAATAGTTTCAAAACTATTCAAGTGGGGGATTGTTGGAAATGTATATGAATGTATATGAATAGTTTTGAAAGCTATAGAGTCTCTAGTGGAAAAACTACCACATTGGTAGTTTTACTTGGTGAAATGTGTATAAAGATAGGAGCCTCTCTCCCAAGGGCATGCCCCTTGGGGTGACCCACTTTTGTGGGAGAGGGAGGACCTAATGGACCACCACACACGCGCGCGCCGTCCGACCGGCCGGTCGGTTGGTTGGTTGGTTGGTTCACTTGAGACTATATATATATTTTTGGAGAAATTCCGAACGAAATTAATTATTTAATAATTAATTATTAATCTGTTATTCTGAGGTATATTTCTAAGGATAGTCGACTAAAACGGAATATTCGAAGGATAATCCCTCCGGGTTTATCTTAACCGACGGTTTTAATTAAGGAAGTAATTATCTTCCTTAATTAATCCGACTTATTCCCCAAGCAAGAGGGTATATTCCTAGGGGTTCGGCTCCTATAAATAGCCGCCTCCCCAGCCCCTCTAAACACATCACAACGAGCAGAAACACAATAGAGAGAGTGTTTAGAGAGCTTCGGTTTTCGCACAAAACCGCGAGTATTGAGAGGAGCTGTTTTATCCTGGAGACGACCGGTTGATAGTCTGCCGTGCGCATCGAAGGCAGTGCCGCGAACGTCTTAAAGAAAGCGACCTAGTCCGCGACTCAGCTCCAGATTCGGTAACTTCGTTCCTTTTGTTGTTCCGTTCCTAACACAAAACTAGCCAGTTCATGAGTTGTACTCCACAAGCCACCTAATCGAGCTAGTTCACGAGTCTCACAAGGTTGAGCTCAATCTCGGCTCGTTTATTGACGAGCCAGACTTTATTTTAATCGAACGAGCTTTATCGAGTTAAAGATCGAGCCGCTCACGAATAGCTTGGTTCATTAGCAACCCTATTTGTCGGACATGCATTTGAGTATGCAAAGGTCCAAACGGATAAACGATATGTGGATTGGATTACATTGAACTGAATATAATGCAATTTATTTTCTATGTCAATAAATTTTGTAAGTACTAAGGAAATGGATGAAATTGTCATAAAGATCGAATTAATTTCGAATCACAACGAACCAAATATAGTGAACGTTTGATTCTTAATTCAAAATTTTATTTTACTATTTGATAGCTCCCATAGTTTGGTCCGATCCGGATTCCGGACCGATCCATTGCACACTATACACACTTCCATAAGTTTTCTTTGTCATATGTAGTCATACTCAAAAGACTCCGTACAAAATTTACCTGCAATTGTTGTGTGCCACCTTACTCCGAAGCGAATGTCGTTCGAATATGGTTAACCTAAACTGAACTAGAGGGCTCCTATTTCGATTGGGAAATTGCACTGAAGGCCTTCCACGAGACAAAAGTTGGCGTAAAGGGTTTCGTAGACGTCGGAATTGCAAAAATCCGAGCGATATTTCTAAATTTTCCTTCCAAAGTACACACGTTCTGCAATTTTTTTTTATCAAAATACACACAATTTATGAAGTGGGAGATAGAAGGAGGTTTTGAAGAGGGGAATTTGCAGGCGGAAGGGAACTGGTAGTGTGGGATAGTGGCGGAGGGAACATAGAGAGTTTATTAATTTTTTTCGAAAAAAAGATCAATATTATGTGTGAAAAATAGAATAACTCATTTTTATGATGATAATTTTTTAAAGTACGCAAAAGCTATTTAACTGTTAAATATGATAGTTGACCGTCACGGCGTCACGTAGGATAGATTAATGGTTATAGACCATGAGTGATTATGGATTATATAAATGTATAGCATCGATGATTAAATTGAATGGAAAGTGATTAGGGTGATAAATGTGTTAATATACAATTCCCACTAGCAACTAAAGAAATAGTTGTTTGTCTTTTAAGTGGAAGATTCCTCACTTCCATTACATGCAACATTGCATTTGGCGTTTTGTATCTTGTCGAATGTCATCCACGTCATTAGTGGTACCAGAAAACAAAATGCCACTGCACTTTGCAAGCCATCAGCTGCATAATCTTGACTGGAATCTCAAATGCTCAAAAAATACTAGCCTCGGCTCTTTAATGATAAGCTTCCACGATTAAGAACAAAAGTACAAAAGTTAAATAAATCAAATCCATAAGCTTCCAGGATTAAGAACAAAAGTATACAGGTTAAATAAATCGAATGGATAAGCTTCCACATCCATCTAACGTTTCCTGTAATCCAATCTCGGCAGTTGAGCTTTACTAAGAAAAGGGAGAAAAAAGAACCAGGATGGTGAGTACCAATTCAGAAGATTCAGCAAGGCAGACCGAACTGCAGGCGTTCGATGATACAAAATCGGGCGTAAAAGGCCTCGTTGATACTGGAATCGCAGAGCTCCCAAAGATATTCAAGCATGATCCATCCACAATCAATGAAGATCCGGTATCAGAGTCGTCCAAATTCACCATACCACTCATAGATTTGGGAGGCCTGAAGGATGATGATCCACATTCACGAACTGCTGCAGTTGATAAGATCCACTATGCCTGCTCGGAATGGGGATTCTTTCAGGTGATCAATCATGGCATCCCGGAGTCGCTCCTGCAGAGAGCATTTGATGGAGTTAGAAAGTTTCACGAGCAGGACAGTGAGGTCAAGAAAGAATTCTACAGTAGGGATGAAACAAGAAAGGTCATGTATAACACCAACTTCGATCTTTACCAAGCTTCAGCAGCTAATTGGAGGGACACTTTGTACTGCCTGATGGCTCCTGTGCCTCCACATCCTAATGATTTGCCGGCCATATGCAGGTATGCAAAACCATGACAGTACCTTTTTTTCTTTGAGTTAACATTATAATGTAGCTTCAGTTTCTCGTTATCTGGTTTTGAGATTTATATAGAAATTGGTAGACCCATCAGATCAACACTTGTATGATCAAACTCAAAACTACATTATAGCATGTTATCAACCTACGGAGCTCCCTCTTTCACAGACTTGGTCAGTATACTTTAGTAAGAAAACTGATGTTCTGAAATCAAAACCAAGATTGCTGTGAATTGCTTGATGTTCTGAAACTGAAAAGTTTATTAGAAAGAATCGTCGGACCCATCCATTTATGTGCATATCTATAAAACTAGAGGATTAGTAATGCAGATATCTATCTACTAACTTGTGAGCTCTTAGTCTCTTACACGCCTCAAAATTCTGGGGGCGCTGATATTGCAGAGATGTAATAATCGAGTATTCAAGAGAAATGAAGCAACTGGGGCTAACCATTTTGGAGTTGATGTCTGAAGCTCTGGGATTACAATCCAATCATCTCACAGACCTGGGCTGCGCCGAGGGACTCTATGCGAGAGCTCCAATCACCTTGTGGAGGACTGCCAGGCTATGAGGGAGTCTACCACATCCCAGGAGCAGTTGGCCTTCATCGCCAATGTGCGGCGCCTCGATCCATACAGTAACACATATAATGAGGGGTGGCGCCAGCATCCCAACTTCGCCTGGAGCAGCAACACCACTAAACCACCTGGTTTCCCAGCACCAGCAGGTGGTTTTCAGCAGAGGCAGCCCTTCCAGGCTCGCCAGGGGCCAGACCCACAGCAGCAGCCCTACCAGCCTAGGCAGGGGCAGCCATTCCAGCAACCCCAGCGCCAGTTTGCCGAGCCAGCAGCAGCTCCAGCCCCAGATGACAGGATGACGAAGCTGGAAAACATTCTAGCTTCATTCATGACGAGCACTCAGGCGACTATCACGAGGTTGGACCAGAGGAACCAGGGTGCCATTTTGCAGGATCTGCAGACCCAGGTGGGCATCTTGGCCCGCCAGAACACCACCAGGGCACCGGGAACTTTGCCTGCCACCACTGTCTCGAATCCTCGAGATCCTCACCAGCATCAGCAGCTGGATGCCATTTTTACCAGGAGCGGTAAGACCATATCTGCTGATCCTGTCCCGGCCAGACAGGAGGAACCACTGCCTGCTTCAGCACCTCCAGCCGACGATGCAGAAGTGCGGGTGGAGAAGGAAGCCCCTGCTCCCAAGCCACAACCAGTGGTTAAGGAGCATGTACCCCAGCTTCCCTTCCCCACTCGCCTACACAAAGACAAGTTGGAGACTGAGTTTGCCAAGTTTATGGCAATGTTGAAGCAGCTCAACATCAACATACCGTTCGTGGAGGCACTGTCGAAGATGCCCAAGTATGCCAAGTTCATGAAAGATCTCTGCACCAACAAGAAGAAACTTGGGGATCTCTCGACAGTGTTGCTGAGCGAGGAGTGTTCTGCTATCCTGCAGAACAAGCTGCCCGAGAAGCGCAAGGATCCAGGGAGTTTTACTATCCCTCTTACTATTGGCAGCATGCATGTAGGAAGTCCTTGGCGGACCTAGGCGCTAGCATTAATGTCATGCCATATAAGTTGTACAAAAAGCTAGACCTAGGTGAACTTAGCCCTACTAGGATGAGCATTCAGTTAGCTGATCGTTCTATCGTGCATCCTAGGGGTATTATTGAGGATCTGCTTGTTAAAGTAGGTGCATTCACATATCCTGTTGATTTTGTTATTCTTGATATACATGAGGATGTGGATGTGCCTTTGATTCTAGGTAGGCCATTTCTTGCCACCGCCAAGGCACTTATTGATGTGCATGATGGTAAACTGATCTTGCGTGCTGGGAATGAACATGCTACTTTTTCTGTGACTGAATTTGATCACTGTGCTATGATTGTTGTCACGCCTGTGCATGCCTTTTCTGATCAGGTACACGAGCCTGTCGTGTATCCTTGTGCACCTCTTATTTTGCAGGACCCTCCTATCATTCCTTCGCCGCCACTCCATCCAGTCTCGCCTCCGAACAAAAAGCTCAAGGAGGAGTGGCGGCCGAAGCAGCAGGTTGCTAAGCCTGCACGGAAGAAGAGTGGAGACCACTATGAGCTGGTCCCACCTCCTGCACCACGACCACCCTGGCCGTCCGGGTACTCACTCGCCTGCATCTTGCCGGATGGCCAGGTCGAGCTGGCCGATGATGGTGGTCGCATCCGTCGGGTGCATGGCCACAACCTCAAGCTGTACCTCAAGAGCGACGTGGATCCGTTCTTCAAGGCACCTGTTCCTGCACCGCCCTGAGTATCCACCATGGGCGTCCAGCTAAAAGACGGTAAAGAAGCGCTTGTGGGGAGGCAACCCCACCACGGTTTGATTTTCTTTCTTGTGTTTTGAGTCGGATTGTAACCCGGTTTGGGTTTGGTTTGTTTTCTTTTGGTTTGGATGATATCTTATTGGGCTGACCATTGGACCTAACATATTGTGTTTGAGCTCTTTGGCTTCCTTTGGCTGTGCTTGTCTTGACTGGTACTCTCTCCAGTCCGCTTCCAGCCCCTGCAGTCCGTGCATACCGGTAACATCGTTCCCTTTTCCTTCCCTCTTCTCCATTGAGGGCAATGTCGATCTTAAGTGTGGGGGAATGTTTATCTTTTGACTACATTAGATCTGTTTGTGTGCTTGGAGCCTAGTCCACTGTCCAAATCTCGAGATTTGAGGGCTCCAAGCACGGCTGTTTGCTTAATGATTGATCATATTGGCACTGTGGATGTGATTAGAGAATTGAATGGCTTTTGACTTGATACATGACAACTTGAGTGTGGCTTAGACAACTTATTGTGATGACTGAGATGTGCAGTAGAATTGTGTAGGGGTTCAGTTTTTCAACTGTCTGCTCACCAAATGTGACTTGGTTTGATCACTTGCTTTTGACAGTCATTTATGCATCTAGTTCAGGGAATCAGAACGAGAGACAGAGCATGTAGGTAGCCATGTGAGATTTGAGCCTGCTCGTTTCTTTCTTGTGCGATAGTTTCCTCTTCCATGATGTGCAGCATTCACGTTGTCATTAGCTAAGATGATGGAGGCATAGGATTAGCCCACGACCAAATTGAATGTCATAGTGTATCATACCCCCTAGTCAGCCCCTTTGAGCCGTGTGTTATCCTTTCTTTTGGTCTGAAATGAAAAAATAACCCTTTGCATCTTTTAGTAGGTTCCACAGAGTGGTTTTTACATATTCTCTGCTGTTTCTGCTAAACGTAATGTGAGGGTTGGAGGTAGTGCTTAAAAGTTGGGCAGGTGTTTGAAATTGTGCAGAGGTGGTGGTTCTCTTAAGAAATGGAAAATAATGAAAGAAAATCAAAGAAAAAATGAAAGCAAAAGAGAGCCACCACTAAAAATCTGAATAACGCCCATGTAGTAGTGTTTCTTAGCAGTCTGGCTTAGAAATACTAGCATTTATGTAACCTCCTTCGCTCTTGTGTTCTGAATTTGAGTAATGCAGAATAGCAGAAAGAAAGTTTCTGGTCTGATTGATTGTGAGTCTGTTGGGTTTGAAAATGTGGAACCTTGTGCTGTATGAATACTTCCACCACCTAAAAGGCTTTTTCCCCATGTCCAAGACCCTAGCCAGTCGTCTGAACCTGAGTCTAAGACCTCCGGATTAGTTAGTGGTGACACCCCATATGTGAACTCTAGCACTTAGAGGCTGCATTCATGGTGAAGAGATGTTAGGGATTGAGGGATTGAGCATGCGCATTTTTCGCATCATATTGTCCTGACCCCACTGGTCGAGAGTGAGCGATTCATTTTCTCTTATTCTTTATACTCTTTATCCCGGTGAGGACCTTGATTGCTCGGTCTTACTTCTGATACCTTGAATTTTGTGCATGATGTGACTGTTTTGAACAAGTGGTTGAGTTAAGTCTATGTTGGTTGGTGAACAGAAGAGAAACTCTTCCTTTGCTCGATTTTTGCTGCATTCGAATGTCATCAGTGGTGGTTGTCTAGGTTGTCATTGAAGTTGTCCATGTGTTACTGATCGAAAGCTAGTATGATCCACGTGTTTTGTGCCGATATGTCATGCCTTGTTGTTTTGAGCTTACCTTGTGTCTGACTTGGTTTGCTTGGGGACAAGCAAACGGTTAAGTGTGGGGGAGTTTGATAGACCGTTAGTTACACATGTTTTCACCCCTGTTCTTACACCGTTGGAGATGTGGTTTCTCGTGTTTTAGACCGATTTCACGCTAGGTTGTGCTTGTTTGTGATATTTCAGGTCCTGGCAAGTGGATGAAGGTTTAGGAGCGAGTTCGGGGTCGATTGGGTGAAGATCGGGCGCGAGACAAGTAACAAAGGAGGTCACACGGGCTGCCCTGATGTTCACATGGCCGTGTGAAGGAGTGGTTTGGCCGTGTGGGATTCTGCGAGAGCAGACACGGGCAGAGAAGAAGATCCACACGGCCGTGCAAGTGGCCGGGTTGGCCGTGCCACATTCTGCGAGAGCAAACACGGGCAAGAAGGGATGTTCACACGGCCGTGCCACTCTGGCCGTGCAAAGAGCCTGGAATTCGAACTAATTGGAACGCAGCGTTTTGACTGACACGGGCAACTGGGTGAGCTGCACGGCCGTGCCACCCTGGCCGTGTGAGTCGGGATTTTCTCCTTTTAAGCAGAATTTCAGCCACAATTCGGGAGGATTCGGGTTTTTGAGAAAGAGAGCGATTTCTAGAGAGAGAAAGCGACGAACAAGAGTCTCCAAGTGCCCTAGATTGATCTTCAACACCATTGGAGGCCAGCTTGAGCTTGGAGAAGTGCCGATCAACGTCCAGGAGCAGGAATCCATCTTTCGCAGTGTGAATTCCGTGTCTGATTCTGCTTTTGCTTTCTTCTCCATGGAGTAGTTCTTCCATTCATCTGGGTATGGAGAACCCTAGATTTGTATGTTAGGTTTGATTGTATGAACCCAAGTACTGATTCTATGATTGATTATATTCGATTGAGGCTTGAATGATTGAATGACTTGAATCCTGATCAAATTCCTGTTGTTTCTGCTTTAACCTAGAATGAGAATATCTGCCTAGGTTAATAGAGTATCCTTGATTGAAGATAGAGAGTTGGTGACTTTAGTCGAGGAGCCAACTCACTATTCTGTACCGGATTTACTCCGGTAGTGGAGGTTTTGTTTGTTAAGGCCTCAATCTGTTTACTCCGGTGGAGGTTAGTCGCCCGCTAGAGACTCAGATTGAGAGGGTCTGAAGACCTTTAGTCGAGACTTCAGGCTGTTTAAGAACCTTCCGCAGTATAACTATCATAGAAACTGAACTTGGTAATTACAATCCGGCTTAACTGCAGTCTAGGGGGAACCATATCCGGGTGACCTCTTTAACCTGAATACAACAGTTTACTTGCTTTGTTAGTTTATTAGTTTAGACTTGCATTCCAGTTTCATTGCTAGATAACAAGATTTCACTGAGTAGTCATCAGATCTAGGACCCGGGTTGACATATAAACCTAACCCGCTATACTACGCTTTAGGAAGTGGTTTCACTTGGCCAATTCCTAGAGTGACAGTAGAGTTGAGTCAACATCCCTCTCAAGCAGTCTAGAGAATATTTTCATAGCTATGGTAAATAGGAATGGGGAGAGGGGATCTCCTTGTTTAAGCCCTTTCCCCGCCGGGAAATACCCACATAGTCCACCACTGAAAGCTACACTAAGCATAGGGGTAGTGATGCAAGCTCTAATACGATTCAGGAAGCAGTCTGGGAAATTCATAGCATGCATCGCTTGAAACAGAAACTGCGAATCTACCGAGTCAAAGGCTCTCTTTAGATCAATCTTCAAAGCACACCTAGGAGTAATTAACCTCTTGTGATGGTCTTTTACAAGTTCAGTGGCTAAAAGGATGTTATCACTTATGGATCTTCCCTTAACAAAAGCAGATTGGGAGGATCCTATTACCTTATGAAGTACACTAGAGAGCCTATTTGATAATAGTTTGATATACCCTTATAGACCACTTTGCAACAGGATATAGGTCAAAAATATTTCATTTGTTCTACATTAGGAATCTTTGGAATAAGAGCAAGGATGGTGGAGTTTACCTGTCGTGGCATAATCCCCATCGAGAAGAATACCAGAACTGTATTTTCCACATCTGTCCCAACAATATCCCAATCAGCAGTGAAAAATTCAGTTATGTAGCCATATGGACCAGGGGCCTTATCCCTGCCCATAGATTTGAAGACCTTCTTGATTTCCTCTCTAGTAACCTGGGTTCTTAATACCTCATGATCTTCATCAGTAAGCTTCATTTTCACCAGCTCCAGAAAGAAAGAATCAGGGAACTTCTGCACAACAGGATCAGAATGACCTAGCAATCCCTTATAAAAAGAGACTGCCAAACTACTCATCTCCTTCACCTCAGTCAAAACCTTACCACTATCATCAATCAGCTTTTCAATATTCTGCCTGTGAGTAGGAGCCTTTACTGATGCATGGAAAAATTTGGTATTCATATCACCCTGTGACACATATTGCACCCTAGACTTTTGGCGATGAAAACTCTCATCTGCAACCTGCAACTGCTGGCAATCAGCAACAAGCTTTAATTCATTCTCAATAGATTCAGCACTAGGAGATGCTAAAACCAACTTATGAGCTTCTTCCAATTTCATTTCTGCTTCTCTAGTTCTCTCAGATAGCTCTGAATAACTTGTTCTATTCAACTTTTTCAGCCTCAACTTTAACTCTCTTAGCCTTACCATACAAAATTTGATGGGAAGACCCTTCACCTCCCATTTGCCACACTTCATTTACCAAGTTAACATATGTGGGGTGAGACCTCCAGAATTTAAAGAATCAGGGGCATTAACAGCAAGCACCCTAGTTTCTAATATAGCTACCATATCTATACCATTACTAGCTAACCTTTTATTTAAGTATTTCTGCTTCTCAGGAGTGTTAAATCCCCTGAGATTCCAGCTCAACAACTTCGTTTACCTTTGCGTTTCCCCTTCCCTTTCTTTGGAGGGGTAATCTGACCAACCATAGCCTGCCCTTTGGCATTCAAAGGTACTCTAGCAGCTAATGCCGACTGAGGAACCCTAAGGCTCCCCCCGCAGAAGACTGATTGTTTTTTCGAACCACAAGTTGAAAACCCTCAACATCCACCCCGGCCTTACCCCGGTCCCCAACTATTTCAGGAGGAGTTTGAGCTATAGCAGGCAGAGTAACTGTTGGAGAAGCCATCGCAGTAGCCCCAGCACTAGAGGAAGCTAGAACTTCTTCCTGAGTAGGAGCAGCCTCAGTGGCAACCTCCCCAGTTTTAGGAGCCCATTGCATTTGTCATGCACTAAATCAACCTATCCAACCACCACCAGTTCTATATCTTGCAGAACCTCCAGAGTACGACAGTCATCGCCATGCCCAACCTCATGCCAAAAAATTCCACACTGTGCAAAACGATGGGGAACACTCTTGTAGCTCACAAAGATCATCAAAGCTTCCCCTCCTTCTGGTCGAATACGGAAATCCGTCGGGAATTTAGAATCAGCAGATATTTCGATGCAGACTTTAGCAGAACTCATCTGGACACCCATCTTAGTAGCCCGATCCATCCATAACGGCTTACCCAGTCTACTCGCAACCCTGATAAGACCCTCCACAGTTAGGTATTCTAGAGGTAACCCTCGCAGACTGACCCAACTCGGCAGAACACCCAAATTCAATTCCATCGGCTGAATTCCCGGAGTCCACTTCCGCACAAACAGCGGGTTACCCTCACAGTGCCATGACCCGTTCTCAAATACCCAATTACAGGAATCACTGTCCGAGAGATGAAACATTATCAAACTTTGGCTCAAAGGGGTAACCAGAACCTTACCATCGACGGATTTTGAACAATCTTGGAGGCTTCGCCAAAAACTGCCCCACCAGCGAGTTACGTCAGCGAACCGACCTTCATCTCGAACCGCTTGAGGAATGACCAAATCCCCATCGACCAGCGTCGGAGCAACATATCGCAGTTTGTTACCCTCACCTACTCCAAATAACTGAGCCCAAGTTGCTGGCGGCGGATCGGCCTAGAGCGGCCATCCCCGCCAAGCAACGACATCTAGGGTTCACTCGATGGAGAGAGAAAGAAGAGAGAAGGGAGAGCGTTGCTACACTGTATTAGTGGAATTTAGGAAATTAGGAATAAAATAATTTGTATAAAATTACATGTAATTTAGACAAAAATAAATCAAAATGAGACATGTCAATCGATGAAAATACCTATATCCACTTCATTCAAAACAAATCGAATAAAACTGTAAAAATTCAAAATTGCAATGCAGTTACATAAGTTTTGTTTGTCGCACTTAGGGGTGTCGATTCGGTTCGGTTCGGGTAACCGAACCCGAAAACCGGCAAAACCCGAAAACCCGAAACCGTTACTACACAACCCGAAACCAAACCCGAAATTGCAGCTTGCGGGTTTCGGGTACCTGAACCCAAAAATTTTTTTGGCGGTTTCGGTTGTTGGCTTGAACCCGAATTGCAGAAGCACTTTCAGCAAATGCCACAATACCCATATTCTCCCCCTTAATCATCCCACCGTTCCAATTTCACAACCAGCATATAACCCATCAGCCGCTTCAATTAACAGGGGACACAAACAGAACGGGAAAGGGAGGGGAAAGAAGAAGGCCTTACCGGGTTGCCATAGCCGAGGTCGGAGAATAGAATAATAAGGGAGTAGCCGACCCACTTCGCCGTGGATGGGTTTCGGTCGTCTGCAGCTGAGTTTCTCATGAGGGCGCTAGCAATGAGTATGATTATGGCGGCGAGGACGATGGCGGCGAGAGGGTTGATGGCGGTCGGAGAGGTCCCCACAAGGTTGCTATTGCGAGGGAGTTGAGAAGGGAGGCTCCGACCGGCGACGCGAAGCGGCGAAAAGCTAGGGTACAGGCATGTGTTGGAACGAAACCGAAACGACACAATCTCTCCAAAGCTGCGCCTGGCAATCCAATAAAGCCATTCGGTTTTTCGGGTTAAGCTTAGTTCTCAGATTTCCATGAAACCGAAACCGCTTCTTCACATAATCGGGTTGGAACTGAGAACCCGAAACCCGAAACCCAAAAGTGCATTTATCGATTCGGTTTCGGGTTAACCCGAAAAACCGAAACCGACCGGACCCCTAGTCGCACTCCAAACTCCAAAGACCTACATAATTGAACTGCAATTACTGTGTGGATCCTTTACTCCGAAGCCGAATATGGTAACCAAAACTGAACCAGAGAGCTCCGATTTCGATCGGGACACTGCCCTCAAGGCCTTCGACGACACAAAAGCCGGCGTCAAGGGTCTCGTAGACGCTGGAATCGCAAAAATCCCGCCGATCTTCCTCCACTCACGGCCCAACGCAGCTTCCGTCCAATCAACTCCAGGGCACACCGAGTCGGAGCTACCAGTAATCCCTACCGTTGACTTGCAAGGCGTCGACGGAGACCCAAATCTCCGCCGCCGGGTGATTTGGCAAGTGAATGACGCCTGCCGGAGATGGGGTTTTTTCCAGGTAATCAATCACGGGATACCCACAACCCTCCTGAACAAGATGATGGAAGGGTTGAAGGGTTTCCACGAACTAGAGACTGAAGTGAAGAAAGGGTTCTACACCAGGGACTACAGCAAGACTTTGACTTACAACTGCAACTTCGATTTCTATCAGTCGCCGGCTGTCAATTGGAGGGATACCGTGAGCTGAGTCATGGCTCCTCGCCCACCAAACCCTAAAGAACTCCCTCAAGTTTGCGGGTAAACCTTGAAGATCCATTCATACCCAAATTAGGAATAGATGGAGGTTATGAAAAACTCTGTTCTGAGGTCCTGCGAACTCTAATCGATCTATTCTTGTTGTTTGGGCAGGGAGACGATGGTTGATTACTCGACCCAAGTAATATTATTGGCAAGGAGGCTATTCGTATTGTTGTCCGAAGCACTGGGGCTGAACCCCAGTTACCTTAACGATATAGGTTGCTCTGAAGGACTGATGTTTTTCGGTCACTACTACCCAGCTTGTCCTGAACCGGATTTGACAATGGGAATCAGCAGCCACTCTGATAGCAGCTTTCTCACTGTGCTTCTGCAAGACCAAATCGGTGGTCTCCAAGTTCAATGTGATAATCATTGGGTTGATGTTGAGCCCAACACTAGTGCTCTTGTGATAAACATGGGAGACTTGTTGCAGGTAAATAAAAATTGGACCGTCACTACAATGGTTAGTTATCAATCTCATGGAGCTTTATATCTGATCACTTTTTCTCAATCTGTGGCCATGTGTGCAGCTTATCTCCAACGACGAATTCAAAAGCTCTCAACACAGAGTTCTGACGAAGTCGATAGGCCCAAGAGTTTCGGTGGCTTGTTTCCTGAGGCAGCAGCTGCCACCTGAGAACTCTAGGGTCTATGGTCCGATTAAGGAGCTGGTAACGGAAGAGAATCCCCCAGTTTTCAGGAAAACTGCGGTGAAGGAATTTGTTAAATACTACTATGCAAAAGGGCTTAATGGGATCTCCGCCCTTGAGCATTTCAGACTCTGAGATCTGACGATGAAAGCAGTTCCGGTTAGAAGAACCAATGAACAGGCACATATATACGAGAAAGAATAAATATCCTTTGGTAATCAGGGACTTTTGGTCTCTGTAATTTCCTAGCTTTGCACTTTCTACAATATCTTATGCAATCTCCATGTAAATATTGTCAGGAATTTGGATGGAAGGAAACAGGTGAATGAATCACTCTCCTTAAATCATCTTCAAAGGGGAAGCTAAAAAAAACTAAATTTTGGAGAAAGATTTGGCTTTTTAGCCCACCAAAAATAGTTTTGCTAAAATGGTAAGTTCTAGAAAGTCAAAAGTTGCTAGTGTAATGGATCTGGAACGACTAGATCCGCGAGAATATGCGCCAATCTATCGAGAATTGACCATGAAGTACTCAAAACGACTCTGTTCGAGTTACTATATGAACCGCTCGATATTAACTTGATCTGCCTACAACCGCACATAATCACAGGCACCACCAAGCAATCTGATCCTGATTTCCTCACCGTATTAGTCCAGGACCATATCAGAGCGCTTCAGATTCTTCACCAAAATCGTTGGATTGATGTCACTCCAAGGGTCTTGATGGGACTTCTGCATCAACTCATTTCAGGGTGTGATTGCAGCAGCTACTAAAGTATAGCATGACGGCTCTGTATGCCCATGATCTCATTACTAAATGCCGGGAACTCTGCACTTGAGAATGCGTAGTTCTAAAGTAAAATGATATCTCTGTTTGTTTGGTTAGGAAAGTGATGCATACACCAAATGGGTTACTTGTGTTGCTCGGAAATTTGATGCCCCATGAGTCAATGATTCATGAGCGAGTGGAGACCAGCCAATTGTAGTATGTGTCTGTACTCTTTACTTCACTCCAAATTTACAAGGATTAAGGAAAGAGCAAAAGGCAAGCCAAGAAATGAGTCCCACGACGGAAAAGGATAGGCCCTTTCGTGCCAGTTGACTGTTGCAAGCATGGTTGTCATGCGGGTGGCATGCCACCCGGTTGAACCTGGTTCAACCTGTGCTGATCATGAAACGGGCATGACACCACCGGTATGACCGGTATGATCGACTTACGCATTCTAAGTAAAATGACATCATTTTAATGAATTTAATGAATAAAAATAATAATTTATTATCCATTTTTATGAATGTAATAGTTAGAAGTTGATGATATTTGTTGGATTGTAACTAAATTGTCCACAAATATGTTTTATATATGATTAAATACATTGGATATTAATTGTTTTCACATTTTTAGACCGGCATGAACCAGCACAAACTGGTTATACCACCAGTCGTACTATTCCACTTGCCAAACCGGTACAACGGTATAAACCGGTTTGACAACCTTGGTTGCAACTTGCAAGCGTTGGGAAAGAGGCAAAAAGCAGAGCTTTGGTTTGGTTTGGTTTGGGTCCAAACTCCAAACACGATATTTTCTTTTTCGATTGTGATTCCTAGTAATAATTAGTTAATTAATTAGGTATTACAAAACAATTTATTTATTTGTTGATGTACTCTCAAATCTGCCCACCTTCTTCCTTTTGGCTACCTGTTTTCCAGTTTACTGTTCTCTTCTCTTCTCGCCTCTTTCCTTCCCCACTTTATTGTATCTCCTGTCCGCATCTGCAGCCCTCTGTTCTTCTCTGCCCGTCAATTCCTTACCTACCCACATTCAATAATCCAATTTCAGTTTTGGGCAGCGCCAAAGCTTTCTCCTTTGTCACCGCCTTGGGGTGTCTGCCTAATTGTTAGCTGTGCCCGGTAGGTGTTCGTGTAATTGTGTGAACCAACACAGAGTTGTTACTTTGCCCTCCTTTTTCCCCTCGGTTTTGAATGATCCGGGGTATGGCTGCGTCGATCAACCCATTAGCCAGTTGAAATTCTTGTCGATTGGAGTTGGCGGAGGACACCACAGACGCTAGGAATGAGGGATTTTGCTGGCACGCCGGGGACTATGACCGGGCTTTTCCTGCGGATTTCTCAATGTGTGTTTGCGGCTGGGTCGATCACTGCTATTTCCACCACTTCTAGCTTCTTCAACTTCACTGCTTTCTGGTATTCTTCGGCTCTCTTGTTCTCCTCAATTATGCTATTTGGGTTGCTTGTATGATTCGGCAAAGGTAAAGATTGAATGAACCTGAACAAAGTTAAGTAGAAAACTTGATTCGTGCAAGCTAATTGAAGGATGACGAAATTGCTAACTTTTTGAAAAGCTACATTTCCTAAGAATTGGGTTGTTTCTTGCTAATTGTGACATGCAACAATTTTATGCGAAATAAATGGCATTAGCTATAATGGTATGTAAGTTGCAATCCGGTGCTTGGATCTGGATTAACTGTTTAAGGAATTGAAGTGTGATCAATGGTTTGTGAATAGAGTAGGGATCTCCACATCCGGACTACCAACTGCTGATCTAAGTCTCTAGTTCACTGATACATAGTGCAGCAAGAATCATATTCAATATGTATTGATGGCTTGTAGTTGGTTCTGCCATGTTTTTCATAATATTGAAGAAAAAAAGAGCTCATTGATGTTGCAACGGAGGCTGAGGACATTTTCTCTTGGATAACGGAGAACAGATGTGCTGCATAATTGGCAATGAATGGATCAAAAGTTATGAAAATGATCATACTTCATAAGCAATTCTAACATCATGGTTACGATTTTTAAATTGGTAAAGACACAAGAATCAGCAGTCACAGAGCAAAATAGTGAATTGATGTCTAGCTTGTGGATGCAAAATATGTTCCATCTTCAGTTCGAAAAACTTGGGAGTTTCAAGACTTCTTTAACTCTGAAACTTGCTTTTACTAATTCTGCAGCTACCTAATTGCGTCAATGGGTTTGCAAGTGATCTGGAGCTTTGGACTTGCGTTGCTAGATTCTTATGCTTTGGTGAGAGGCAAAATTCTGCACAACTCTCTATTGGTCAGCCTTTTTGCTGTGGGAGATTGGGTTAGTACCCTCCAACAAAACTCTGCTACTTAAAATCTAGTGCCGGCTTCATAATATAGATGATTGTGGTTTCATTAACACACACTCTGCTAATTGCTAATGCTGATAAACAGGTGACGGCAACCTTGTCTCTGGCGGCGGCTTCTGCTTCCGCCGGCATCACCATACTTCTTTTTCATGACCTGGGACACTGCGGTTTCGTTGGAGAATGCCAAAAGTACCAAATGGCAGTGGCGTTGGCTTTCCTCAGCTGGGTCTCTATCGCGACATCCTCGATCATCATGCTGTGGTTGATGGTAGAAGGTTAGACGAACGACATATTTGTTATACCGCAGTGTACAGGCTAATTTGTTTTGTAACATACAGAATCCTATCTTTTCTCAGGTGGGGATTTTTGAGCTTTTCACAAGATGGTAAGTAGGAAAACATCAGGTGGACAGGATAGAAGTACATAGTCACACACAAAGGTTTACTTTGTAATTTGGATAATAATGAAGCACATACTGTGTATATAGAACAACTGCAAAGGAAGAAGCAATTTGTCATTGGCTAGCAAATTTGTGAAGGAAAACGTGGGTATTTTAGGACAGCTTTATTACTGTTATATTCTGAAGACATCAGATTCTGGTTTCAAACATCGTATTGGTGGAATGTGGCATTGAACAAGTCATGTGGCTATCTGACGAATGCAGGTACACTGGTTGGTTTGGAGAAACGAATCTCAGCTCCCTACCGAACTTGTCCTCATCTTCTGTGTTAGGTTGATGATTTCACTGGTGCCCACATTTCCGTCAGCTGTAAGTATTTAATGGATCTGTGTGGTTCAGATCTGTGGGGCGCAAGTGGGAACAACACAAGCCCTGAATCTTCGGGGCAAGGCGGAGATGAGAATGGAAGGTTATGGCCAAAGATCTGGCTCGTTCTCCAGCTTCCCCCAAACATCAGTGGGCCTACTTTGCCACCGGTTATCTTAGCAGATGTGGGCTCATCTACTCAGCCCACTGAGTTGGTCGTCTCTCTTCAGTCCGTCATAGGCCCAGCGACCGTCATCTTGAGTGCTTGACTATCAAACCATCTTGTTCGGTTGATAGTTTTTTTTTGGTGGGATTGTTCAGTTGATAGTTGATACTATCTATTGGAATAAGTCGTGGATGGTTCATTTTCTATTTACACGTGCCGCTACGCTTTTCTTCATGATGCATCAAGAGAAGGTTTACATAGCTCAACGACTCAACCCCTTGGATTCGTTGATTAAGCTCAGCCAAATCATGTTTGTAGCAAGTTTTCTAAAATCGTATCGAGTATAATTTCATTGTGAGAAGGTATTTATTTATTTAATCATTACGAATCGTCTACATCCAATTCAATAATATCGAACACCTGTAAAGCTGTAAACACATTCTCACAAATGGATAATACGATACCCAATTGAAGCCTTGGTGGTGGTGATAACATATGATCATGATCAGGCCAGTACCATCACTAACATTAGGGGTGGGCAACGGGATGGGATGGGATACCCGTCCCGTTTGAAACGGGTACCCAATCCCATTTATAAAGGAAACTTCATCCCATGTTCCGAACCTGTATGGGTTAACGGGTACCCATACTACCCGTATATACCCACGGATGGCAAAACCTAAAGACCAAACACATAATTAAACAATTGAAGAGAGTTAAAGAGAAACCTACTGTCAATAATGAGAAACCTACTGTTTAAACAACACCAAATTAACATAAAAAGAAGTTTATTGTATATATATTTGAATATTTTTAGCCCCCGTACGGTAGTACCCTCGTCCTTTCCTTTTTCTCCCCATGAAACATTCTATTATAAGTTCACCACAACTAACCCCATCTTTCAATACATGATGCACTATCTGATTTAATTACATGCATTACAGTAACAAAGCTCATTCTTTCATGCACCCCTACCACCAATATCACGGCTCAAATCTATCAATATATATATTTTTTATCGAAATCTGTATCAATTTTATTAATCAGAAACTGAGGTTACATCATCCACAAGAAGCTGATCCACGATAATCATTGGTGGCCTATCAAGCCAAACAATACTCTCCTCTAAACGAGTCTTTATATGCGCCATAGTATGAGCCGCCTTGTTCGCCTCTCTGTATATGAACTGCCATCTTCCATCTCCCATTCGTTCCAGGTTCCTTCTGATACTCCTGCACAGAACTCCAAGCTTACTGTGATTCTCCTCCGCCGTATCCAGCAGCTTCATCATCTGCATACTATGCGACTCAAGAACTGGGTTCGAAATATGGTGCTGCCATGCGAGCTGAATCCCAAAATCTGCTGCCATTACTTCCGCCATCAGAGGTGTCCAAGTGTCCCTAATCTTCCTAACCGCCACCATCACACACTTTCCTTTAGCGTCGTGAACAACTACCCCCAGACCTGCTCCACCACCTGGTAAAACGCCAGCATCCGTGGCAATTGACGTTGTCCCAGCTCTCGGCCGCCGCCAGACTTTTGTAGCCGGTGCTGGAGCTGACATGTTTGTTTCATTCGATGAGTTGTCATTACCTTGCTGATTCTTATAGTTCTCAAGGAACTCTTTTGCCCGATGGACGATCTCCTCTTCTGGGGTTTTGTGGCCGTTGAAGAGTTGAGCATTACGCTCTTTCCACAAGTACTATAATAACATGCACCACTCCTCCAGGACATCATCCGCAACCCGAGCCATTACTTCTTTCATCCAGCCATAACTGTCATTCTCTCCGCGAGCTTCAAAGCAGGCCGCCACAGATGAGGTTCGCCACAGTCTTGACGTCCAGCCGCAATCTCCAAACCGGTGGGTCTGCGTCTCGTACAAGTCACAAAAGGGACACTTATCGGTCCACTTTTCACTCTTCTTACTGGCATGGTCACCCGCCGGGAGCACGTTACGCATAAAGCGCCATAAGAAATGCTTCACCTTGGGTGGAAGTTTTAAGGACCACATTCTCTTCCACACCTCAGCCTCCCCCGTCGCATGCAGACCATGCATTATCCTATAGACTTCGAGCCATCTCTTGTATCCATCATTCACAATGAAATCTCCAGAGCTGCTAATGTGCCAAATAATTGTTTCCCTCTCCTGCTCATTTCTCAATGGAATTTGTTGAATAAGCTCCGCTACTTCCACCGGGAAGCAAGCGTTCACCACGTCTTGATCCCACCCACCGTTGACCGGATCGATTAGCTCGCGAACACAAGAGTCCACTGGCAAACCCGTGGGCTGCGAGGGAAAAAACCAGCCCTGCTCCATGGGAATCCACTTATCCCCCCATATCATCACCTCAGTTCCATTCCCGATTCTCCACCGTAAGCCACTATGAAGGAAAACCTGTGAACTCATGATTGACAGCCAAAAATAGCTCGGATTATGGCCACACACCGCCTCTAGAACACTATCCTTCTTATGGTACTTGGCTTTCATTATACGGGCGACTAGAGAGGTCGACCGTTTATGTAGCCGCCATAGCTGTTTTGCAAGAAGCACCGTATTAAATCAGCGCAAGTCCATGAACCCAAGACCGCCTTCCTCCTTCGGTAAGACTAGTTCTTCCTTTTTCACCCTGTGAGCACGTCTCTCCGAACCTCTTTGGCCCCACCAAAAGTTCAACATCAGATTGTTGACTTCCTCTAGTACGCCCTCCGGTATTCAAAAAACCGACATGGCATAAGTGAGTTGCGCTTGTGCTACCGATTTGATCATGATCTCCCTAGCTGCGGCCGACATAGCTTTTTCTTTCCATCCCTTGAGATTTTTTCGGATTCTGTATTTCAGGTCTGTAAATAGCTCTTTCTTCGATCTTCCAGCTTCTGTGGCGAGCCCCAGGTATTTTTCGTGCTTGTCCATGATTTTCATCTTTAGGACTCCGCCCACTAGCAGCCGCCCATGGGGATTGACATTCTTGCTGAAGGAGACTTCCGACTTCTGGAAATTGATATGTTGACCTGACTCCAGCTCGTAATCATGTAAAATCTTCTTCAGCCGCATGCTCTCCTGGGTAGTTTCCCTGAAAAAGAAAATACTATCATCAGCGAAAAACAAGTGGGACACCACGAGAGCACCCCTCGCCGATTGGAACCCATGGATCCTTCCTTCCGCCACCTCTTTGTTTGTGTATGAGGACAGACCTTCCACACATAGCAGGAAAAGGTATGGAGACAGTGGGTCCCCTTGTCGTAATCCTCTCGCCGGTAAGAATGGCTCCGACCGATGTCCATTAACCAACACCGAGTACTCCACCGACTGAACACACATCATCATCAGCGAGATCCAGCGGGTCTCAAACCCCATTTTTTCCATGATTCCCTCAAGAAATCTCCACTCAACTCCATCGTAGGCTTTGGCCATATCGATCTTAGCTGCCGCAAAACCCTTACTCCCCTCATTCTTTCGCTTCATGGAGTGAAAACATTCAAAAGCCGCCATAATGTTATCTGTAATAATGCGTCCAGGCACAAAAGCACTTTGAGCACATCCAATCACCTTATCTAGCACTTCCTTGAGTCGGTTGGCCAAAACCTTAGCCACCAGCTTGTATAACACATTGCATAAATTAATGGGGGCGATACTCCATAGGTGTCGTAGGATTCTTGACCTTCGGAATAAGGGTGATCAAAGTCTGATTCAGTCCCTCGGGCATTTGCCCCTCCTCAATGATTCAGGTAACACAGGCTGAGACATCATCACCTATAATTCCCCAGAATCTCTTGAAAAAGAGGGTTGAGAAGACGTCAGCTCCAGGGGCTTTTCGAGCTCCCATCTGCTTCAATGTTGTGGCTATTTCCTCCCTAGCAACTGGTCGCAGCAGCTTGGAATTATCCTGTTCGTCCACCCTCTTATCAATAGAATCCATAACCGGGGTGTCTGGAGGTGCAGATGAAGCCTTAAACAGGCTACGGTAATAATCCACCATGCACCCTGAGACTGCTTCTGTACCGAAACACCACTGTCCCGCGGCGCTCTTGATTCTCCTGATCATATTCCGTCTCCTGCGCGCCGTGGCCTTCTTATGGAAAAAATTAGTGTTTTTGTCGCCATATTTCAACCAGTCCACCCTACTTCTTTGGCTCCAGTATTCTTCTTCATTTTCCTCTAATTCATCCATTTCCGCTTCGAGTTGCTTCCGCTGTTCCAGCATAGCGGCAGTTTTCGGGGCACGCTCGATCGCTTTCAAGCCTCGTTTAATCTTCTCCCGCTGCTTCTTAAAATTTTGGAAAGCCTGTCGGCTCCAACCTTCCAAGCTATCCCTGCATCGAGTCAGCCTTTCCAAAATCCCTCCTGTCCCTCCCTCGCTCCAAGCATTCTTAATCACTTCAGGACACTACTCGTGCTTTATCCACATCAGGTCAAAACGAAAAGATCACCCCCAGCGTGGCTCTTCGTCCTCAGCTTCGAACGTGTCGCAAACAATTGGTTGGTGATCGGAACGCATTTTATCCAAATGAAGCACACGAGATTGGGGGAACATTTCTCTCCAACTCCCTGTACCAACAAAGCGATCTAGTCTCTCTTTAATAAAGCCTCCATGTCTCCTCGCGTTATCCCATGTGTATGGGTATCCTTGAAAGCCCATATCCTGGAGTCCCGCATACCATAAACATTCATTAAACTCATTCATAGCCGACTCTGCCGTCAGATTACCTCCCTTCTTTTCATCCGTGGATTAGACTTGGTTGAAATCTCCTCCGCAAAGCCAAGGTCCATCCCACTGGTCTGACAGCTGCCGAATCATACCCCATGCTTGCCACTTATCCCTTCCTTCTGGCCATCCATAAACCCCAGTGAACCGCCACACACCCACATGCTCTTCCGCTATCTTCACATCAATATGGTTTTGCGTGATGGACATTACCTCCAGTTGGATACCTTCCTTCCACCATATACTTAGCCCACCTGTCCGATTTCGAGGAGAGACAACGGCTGAGTAACTATCTCCCTCTTCAAAACCAAGCTCCTTCTGTACAACCTTGGTTTCTTCCTTTGTTTGTTTGATCTCCATAAGAAAGACCACTTGTGGGGAAACTTGTCGCATGAGCGACTTCATAGCTCGAACTGGTGTTCCCCAGCCCACGGCAGTTGTAGCTGAGGAGCCTCATTTATTACCTGAAGGGAATAGGTTCCCCGCACCATTCAGCTTTTGGTTCACACTTTTGTTTCGAGAGATGAAAACTCCACTTCCTCCTCCTCCCAAACTGGTCTCTATTCCCCCTCCTTCCTTCACTCCATTTCCTCCTTTCGTACCCGTGTCCAGCCCTTGATTCTGAGTACCCTGTCGTGCTTCTTTTTGGTTCCCCATGCTTTTAGTTTGCTTCTGTGTACCTTCTGCTATGGTGTCCTTTGCGGTTTCATGCCCTTGCTTAGTCTTTCTCAACAAGTCATTATTTCCTTTGCCCCCTGGGACAGCCTTGCCTGATTGATCCCTTGGCATTTCTTCTTCCCCTTTCTCAGCAACTTCTTCCGTTAGAGCACCAAATCTGTTTGACAGCTTCTCCCGACTCAGAGCCTGCTTCCCATTATTATTTGGCCTCAAGGTTGGGCGTCTCCCTCTCCGTTTTGCTATCATCCAGTCTCCATATAGTGGTTTCTCTGCCTCTATATTATTTGTGTCTTCATTCATTTCGTCACCCGCTTCCGATGGCAGAACAGTATTGGTCTCTGAGAGGGTTTTGCATGGGCATGCATGGGCTTGTGACCCATATCTTCCACAATCAAAGCATAAGTTGAACAAGCCTTCATAAGTTATAAAGTACTCCTTTCCTTTAATCTTGTACATCGATAGCAATGGTTTGGTGAGGTCGACTTCGACGCAAACTCGTGCATACTTCATTCGTGCCCCATCTAACGTTGCCCGATCGACTCAAACCGGTTTTCCGATTAGCCCTGCTATCCTCATCACTGCCACTTGGTTGAAAAACTCCGGCGGAACGCATGGGAGTTGCACCCACATCATAGTAGATTTTGTCACCGTGGTCCATGGGTCAAAACCTCGAAACCACCGGTGTACCGTGAGGTAAGTGTCACCAAGGAACCATGGTCCTCCTGAAATAGCAGCCTCATAATCTTCCTTTTTCCGAAACCTAACCAAGTAACACCCATTCTACATGTCGGAGATCTGAATCCCTCCATATTTTGCCCAGAGCTGGTGGAGTCGTGTTGTGAGAAGATTAAACGGGACATTATGCCCCAGACCCCTAACAACCAGAGCAGATCTCCATTCTCGTCGGAATGATCTTTTCTCGGCCGCTGAGAACAATACCGATGGACATGTTGGGTCATACTCCTCCTAAGGGACATAATCATCTTCTTCCCTTTCGGCCTCCGCTACTTCCTCCGAATATGAATCCGCCACGTACCATCCCTCATAATCTTTATCCATATCCTCATTCATGAATAGCCTTCTTCGGCTCTTCTATGCTCCCCCAGGTATCCCAGCCTCCGGCATCGGGATATCCCTTGGTGAGTTAGGGTTTTGATTCAGGGAACTCGTCCCATCTCCTCCAACCGCTTTTGCTTTCTTTTTTTGGTGATGTGCTTCTCGATCTCCTCTCCCATTCGGGAAGGATGTTGTTGTTGGTGGTCCGCGCCTTCCTGTTAGAGCGTCCGACGGTTTTGGAGCCGGTGCAGTCTTCGTATTCAGCACCGCTGCCGACATCACGTTCAGAAAGCCCTAGCCAAATCGCAAATCACCTCCTAAAATCTCGGAGCTCTCAAAGTTAGAACATGAAGGCGGAGATTCTATTATCAACCTATCAATATATATCACCATCACCCTAACTGCATGTATTCTCTCAAAAGCAATGGTAGTGAAAATACGAGGAGCCGCCACCACCAGCAGTAGAATCAGCCGCCACCTCCAATTAAACAAATCTCAATAACAAGTTACTTACACAAACGAGATTAACGGGTACCCGTACTACCCAAACGGGTATTAACGGGTAACCCGCGGGTACCCAATGTAAAAATTATTAATCCCAAGTCCCATCCCGTATAAAAAATTACGGGTATTTGAGTACCCGTAACGCTAAAAAAATAAGACAGGTATGAGTATACCCAAATATCCGTTTCCTATTGCCCACCCCTAACTAACATGAATTATTCTTTCACGTTCTCTCCCAAAGGATTTGGTTAACAAAACTTGCATTACTTGGGGAAAGCATGGGAATAATTAGGAATTGGAGAATAGGCGGCAGACTCCACCATTAGAGGAATGCGGCTTGGCCCCCCTTCTAGTTTAGGTCACCTTGTTATATCTATATACTGCCCGACCCAATTCCCCCACTACCTCATAATTCATTCATGATTGTCAGTTTGTTGAAGCCACATCTTTCATAGTATAGGTTCAGTGAAATGCCACTTCTGATTTTAAAATCATTTCCTCGTGATAAAAAAACAAGTAAACAATACTCTCCACAAGCAAAATCGATGAATTGTGAGCCACAAGATGGAAACTAAGTGCTTTTTGAGCAGGTTGTTCAGCACTTCAATCCATAAAAAAAAAAAAATGGTGTGGGCATATGATAGATGAGTAAAATGCTTTCCTTCCTGTTCCCATAACAATATTCGTACTACTACTACTACTTAGTGGACTCTACTATAGGCATATATCTTTGATTGTTGTTGTAAACGGATATGATCACGCCTGGTTAGTGCTTCGTGGCAAGTGGAAGATAGTACTGTAAATGTGTTGATAATTGACAAAAAGAAGTAGTAAATTAAACCCACAAAGATGTGGTTGGGGCTATATAGCAATTTGCAATCGCTAATCAATGAGGGTATGATAAAAGGAGGATGATCTATCATGTTGAATCTACTAAATTAAACTCCCATTAATTAAGACATTACAATTATGAGCAGTGGGATAAAATTGGACTCGCTGGCCAGTTTAATTTCGGATTTTGAAATAGCTCTATGCAAATAATAAAACAAATACAACTTCAAAACAAGCTTTCAGCAAGCACGAAGTCGTGAATGAGAAGAAAATGTATTCAACCGACAAAGAGAGAGATAGTAAATTGGACTCGATGACCAACGAGACCTTAGTTTCCAAAAAGTATTATCTATGCAAAAAATTAGAGAATTATTTTCATTTTCTTATTACTATTGAAAAACAAGATTATTTAACAGTTCTCAAGCGTAGCCGAAATTATTAGCGAAAATTAATATTGGATTACATGGAACAAGAAAAACTTTAGTTAAAATGGTTAATACCTTATTTTGGCCTGAACTATTATCATATAATCAACTTTGGCACGTGGTTTCAGAAATTAACATCCTGGCCTCAACTATGCAGCATATTGACTCAATTGGCCCGACACATGGTTTGACCGTTAGTCAACACGCCATGTCATTGCCTCGTCAGCCTAAAAATCATTAAAAAAATTCAAATTCAAATTCAAATTATTTTTCTAATTTTTATTATTTATTATCAAATTAACCAAAAAAATTATAAAAACATTAATAAATTTAATTTTTTATTTTTTGGGTAATTTGAAAATAAGAAATTTTATAAATTAACCAAAAATTATGAAATTATTTTATATTTTTAAAATTATCCAAAAAATAAAAAATATAATTTATATCATATTTTTTAAATTTATAAAATTTAATTTGATAATTTTTGGTTAATTTATAAAATTTATCATTTTCAATATCCCAAAAAATAAAATATAAATTTTATTTTATATTTTATAAATTTTATTTTATGGTTAATTTGAAAATGATAAATAATAGAAATTCGGAAAATAATTTGAATTTGAAAATTTTTAATGATTTTTAGGCTGACAAAGCAATGATATGGCGTGTTGACTTCGTCAAACCATGTGTCCGGCCAATTGAGTCTATATGCTGCATAGTTGAAGCTAAGATGTTAATTTTTGAAACCACATGTCAAAATTGATTATATGATAATAGTTCGTGTTAAAATAAGGTATTAACCCTAATTAAAAAAGGGGAGTAATTTCTTCTTCTCTTCTTCTTATTCTTGTTATTGAGGTAGAGAAAAAGACGAAGAAAATAAGGGACAAACATGAAAGGGGAGCACCCAAAACGCATGAAGAAAAGTTCTTCTCATCACCATCTTATTCTTAGTAAGAGAGAAACAGAAAGACGTGGAATGGACCACCAAGAAACAAACTCTCATATCTATACTCCTAAATTCTGGGCTATTTACCATTTAACTGCTTAATGAACAATCACAAGAAAACCATTCCCTTTATATACTGAATGAAAGTTGCAACATAAAATGATGTTGTTGTGTGCAAAAACCCTACCTAACCAGCAGCACTTATAGAGAGTGCAGTACTGTTTCATTCCTTTAAATAACCCTCCACTTAAAACCCATTTCTGATTACTGGAAGCTGCCACTGCCACAGAATTAACTTGGCCTGCTCAGAAGGAAGCCCTCCTTTCAACTTCACTGTTCCTTGCCTAGGTATGGAATTTGTTCTTCGTACATATATAAATTTTACTGCTAGATGATGGTTTACATGACATCAGAACACCAACTAGGTTGTACACTTGGGAAGGAGAGTATAAATTCCCTGGCACCATATTGGGGAAAAAGAAACAGAACTAATTTCTGATACCGTGGAAGCAAGTGTGAGAGAAGAGGTAATAAGATATGGTATGGTTCATCTGGTCCATAACAGAACAAAAGTCCTATTAATATAAGTATATACCAGGACATGTTCTATAAGTAAATTTTTGTTGTTGTTGTTGTTGTTTCGTTATAGTTTTCGGAGAGTAGAAGTTGAAGAGCAGAAAGAAGAAGGGAAGCCAGCAGTAAATGATGAAGGCTGGCTGCAGTGGTGGGTTTGGAGAAGTCTGCAGAAAGTTCAGGCCACACCTGCTCATGGCCCTGGCACAGATTTGCTATACTTTCCTGTATTTCATCACTGAAGCTTCCTTCAACCATGGAATGAATCCTAATGTCTACGTAACGTATCGTCACATTGTGGCTGCTGTGGTCATGTTCCCCATTGCCTATTTCCTTGAAAGGTACAGACCAGTTGGTAATGGAACTTAAATTCATCTTTGTGTTTTCTTTTCTGCATATGATGATGATCATTTGGGTGTCCTGCAGAGAACAGAGGCCCAAACTGACCCTAGCCCTTTTCCTGGAGATCTTCCTTCTGTCTCTACTGGGGTAAGGCCTCTCCGAACGAAACTTAGGCAGCAGAGAAATTAAACCAGGATTATAACCTCAATAATTTGACAGTTTTTTTTTTCTTCTCTCTCTCTTTATGTGATGGCAGGGTGGGTTTGACCTTGAACATGTACTTTGTTAGCCTGAAATACACATCTCCAACTTTCGTTGCTTCAATGGTGAACACCATAGCTTCTGTGACATTTGTTATTGCGGTTGTGCTAAGGTCAGCTTTCTGTTCTTTTCCGTAACAGATGAGGCCTATTATAATGCTTTTTTCCCCCCTCTTCTTTCTCCAATCTGTTCAAAAAGTTTTCAACTTCCCTTTCGATTTATCAGGTTGGAGTCACTTGAACTTCGAAATCCACGAGGAATTGCCAAAATCCTAGGCACCTTAGTTTCATTGGCTGGTGTAATGACCATGACATTGTACAGAGGCCCCATCGTCGAACAACTATGGAATCCTCTGGTTCAGATACAGGGGAAAGCAAACAACAATCACGAAAGCTGGCTCAAGGGTTCTGTTCTCACGGTGGCGAGCTGCATCACATGGTCGCTTTGGTACATTATGCAGGTTTCTAAACTAACTTAGCTCAAGCTGTGTGCATGATAAGAAATCACAACTGAATCCAAGCTGTTTCTTTTTTTCCCCGATTTGGAAATTGCAGGCATTAACACTCAAGAGATATCCTGCTCAGTTGTCCCTCACAGCTTGGATGAGCGCCGTCGGGGCGGTGCAATCAGCAGTCTTCACAGTCATTATAGAGCATAACAAGTCTGCTTGGACGATCGGTTTTAATATTGATTTATGGTCTATCATCTATGGTGTAAGCAGAGTTATCACAAACATGAATTTCAGAATTTTTAAATGAATTCTGATTGATGAACTTGTTATTGCAGGGAGTGGTAATCTCAGGACTAGTGGTATTCATTCAGTTGTGGTGCACAGAAGAGAAAGGTCCCGTCTTTGTTACCACCTTCAACCCTCTTGCAACGATTTTGGTGGCAGTTCTAGCTTACTTTTTCATGGGAGAAAAGCTCTACCTGGGAAGGTCTGTAATTTGGTCTTTCTACTGGCTCTGTCTCTGTGTCTATATTATGTTCTGACAGTTCATTTGTGGCTTGTTTCAGCATAATAGGTGCCGTGGTTGTGATTGTTGGATTATATTTGCTGCTTTGGGGTAAAGAAGGCGATCAGAAAGCTCACTCCAAAGCACCAAGTGTTTCTGCTTATAGTGAGGAAAAGGAAGCTAATCTACAGATAATTACTTCTGGTGAATCTAAGGTGTCGCCTGGGGAGGCTTAAGATTTCATCCATGTGCACCTTTAGCAATGAAGAAAGAGATGTCACATTGAAATCAGTTCTGTGTTTCTTTGTTGCTACAACAGTCGTGACATATAATCAATCCAGTTCTATGAGAGGCTACGTGTAATATCAGATTGATCCAAACATATGAAGATATTAGAGAAGGAGAATGATTCGACTGATCATTCATTAATGGCAACAAAACAAAAAAAAGTGTGCTATAGCGAGTAGGAAGTAGCTTTATGCAAAGCACAGAAGAGAGAGAGAGTAGGAAACCCATAACAGTCGGGGAACTCGTTTCTTACGGGCCGACTCGAGGTTTGATGTCCAATCGTGCTGATTTGGTTTTCTTTAGGATGAAAAAAGACTTAATATTTGAGTATTGTCAAAATCAAACTTATTAATTGGCATGTGTTAATCTGTCAAACATGTGGAATGATGATTAGCTTATTGTAATTATGTTAAGGCAACTTTAACATTGACGGAAAAATGGCTATAATTTTATAGCTGTGATAGATGGTTTGGCTAATATTTGGTATTTTCAAAAATTTGACTAATATTTTAGAATTCGTGAAATGTTTAGCCAAAAAATAACATTTACCCAATAAAAAATTATTTTTAATGCCATATCACCATATTCCTTCCATCTAAGTTCGTCAGCTCATCTTCATCTAATGAAAGTATTATGAGAGCCTTAACAATTGACTAATATTTCATATTTTGAAAGGTTTGATTGATAATTTAGATCATGAAATATTTGGATAAAATATAATATATACCCTAAAACTAAAATTATATGTCTAAACAAAATATTGATGATAAAACTAAACTTAACTATCAATGACTTTCTCTAAACAATGTTGATCCACTTATCTCCTTCTTAGATTTCATGATGGCGAATTCGAGATGACTTTCAATATCTCATATTAGAACTCTTTCACTTTCTCCGCCAAAGGGTTGGCTGACAAAACTTGCATTACTTGGGGAAAGCATGTGAATAATTAGGAAGTGGAGAATGGGCCGCAGACTCTACCATGAGAGGAAGTGGGCTTGGCCCTTTCTGTTTTAGGTTACCTTGTCATCTACTATTTAAGATTTCCCCACTACCTCATCATCCATTCATGATTATTATAAAACGTAATCAGATCATCAGAAGCAGCAACAACCACATCTTTCATAGTACTAGCAAAACACCGTTCGCTATCGTTTTGCGTATCACAAAGATAAATATTTTAAAGAGTAATAGTTTTAATGTTGACCCAAAAATAAAAGTAATTTTATTTTATTCGTAATTATTCTTTGGGTTAATACCTTATTCTGGCCCGAACTATGACCATATAATAACATTTGGCACGTGGTTTAAGAAATTAACATTTTGGCCTCAACTATGCACCATATAGACTCAATTGGCCCAACTCGTGAATTTCAGTCAAATTAGACGGTCAACATCATTGACCGTTAGTGAATTAGCATGATACGCTGACGTGGATACCATGTGGTAAATAAAAATCAATAAAAAATAAAATAATGTAATAATAGTAAATTAAAAACATAAACTGAAAATAAAAAAAATCCTACTCTCCGCTCACTCGGCCCACAGCCCCATCCCTTTCCCAACCTTCTTCCCCAACGAAAAACGCAATGGCCGGTCCTCGCTCGCCGACAGAGGGAATTTGAAACTAATTGATGGATTCGAATCGCCAAGGGGCTGGTCGAGAGGAATTTGACAGATGACACATTCAATTCACTCCACCCTTAATTCGAATCAAAATCGAAAAATCTCTTACTTGACGATGGAACCAAAATCGAATCAAGGGGTTGTTTCCTTCTTGACAATTCAAACACTTCAATGGCTAGCCGCTTGTTCTTGTTCTGCTTTAAATTGCAGCAGGCAGAGGAAGTCGATGTGGATGTTGTGCCTGTTTCTTTGTCCTCGGTCGCCGTTTGAAACGATGGGCTTCTAGGAAGATCTGGTCACCAGAAACATGTTTGGTTTCCTCCTGCTGCTTTCTTCTCTTCGTGCTACTGTGAAAAATCCCTTTCTGGGTTGATTGCTGTGTTCTTCTGGGAAAGATGTCTTTGACGGATTTTCTGTAGATGTCCTCAAGAAGGCTTTGAGATAGGCTTCGGCGACGACGGAAACAACAGTTGTCGAATTTGTTGACGTCGACGGGGCTCGACGAGTGGTGAGGAGAGGGACGGCGACGGGTTGCTGGTCGCCGAGGTGATGGCGGTTGATACAGATATGGAGAGATCGACGTCGATTCAGATATGCAGGATAGAGCTCGCTATGGAGCTTTCGTGGTTGCCTGAGAGAGGGTTTGACTGGGCTGAGTACGAGTGTCGGGAAGTCAGATCTTGTTGTCGGTGTAGTCGTTCTCGGTCTCGGTCTCCTGCAATGTCCGCAGATCAAAATTTATAAGCTTAATTGGTAACTCTCGTCGAAAGGGAAAGGAAAATCGAAATCAAGTTGGGGAAATTTCCTTTTTAAATTAATAAGGGTTTTGTTTGTCTCCTTCCTCAACTATTATTTCCATTTTGATAGAGAAAGGAGAGGGAGGTGAGGGACACGAAAAGGAGAAAGGTTCAGTTGCCGGAGATGGCGGCGGATGAGGAGGAAGGTTGAGGAGGGAAGGACCAAGGAATTGGGTCGGAGAGGGTTGGGAAGGGGATCGTTGGGGAAGAAGGGATGGGGCTGTGTGGGCTGAGTGACAAGAGAAAATGGGAATTTTTATTTTATTCAATTATTAAAAAAATTTATTTTTTATTTGCCACATGGCATCCACGTCAGCGTAGCATGCTGATTCATTAACGGTCAATGATGTTGACAGTCTAAATTGACGGAAATTCACGAATCGGGCCAATTGAGTCTATATGGTGCATAGTTGAGGCCAGGATGTTAATTTCTTAAACCAAGTGCCAAAGTTGATTATATGGTCATAGTTTGGGCCAAAATAAGGTATTACCCTTATTCTTTTCATAAGTTTGTTATATACAATAGATGAGTGAAAGTAATCTTATTTCATTCTTAATCATTATGGTCGATGAACTTGCATAAAGTAGAGGAGTCGTCGAATAAATTATTTATGTTTAAACTTCTTTCATGACGCTAATATTTCAATTTGTATGGATTTTTTTTGGGTTTGATGTAATCGTGGTTCTCCTTTATGAAATTTTTGGATTGATTGCAGGTTTGAGAATGTTCAAACTCGCATTGATCAGGTCAAATTAGGTTGGATACCCATGAATTTGGGTTCAATTGTCTTTCTCAAACAAAACGAAAAAAGCAAAATGAAAAACACTAAAGGTAAAACTCGCTACCGACTTAAAACTCGTCAACACCAGGTTCAACTCGCTTTGACCTGGTTGGACAGAGTTTTGGACAAATTCACACCTGACACAACACGCCAATTACAAAACAAATAAAACTCGCACCCGCCGAAAACATGTAAAATCGGGTTCAAGTCTCTTTGGTCGGGTCGAATTAGGTTGTATACTCATGCGTTTGGACTCAATTGTCATTCTCAACCAAAAGGAAAAAGATAAAAAATACTAAAGCGGATAAAACTCGCTCATGATCCCAAACACTCATCACTGCTTTCAACTCACTTTGATCGGGTCGACCCAGTTTTAAAAAATTCACAATTTACCAAACATGTCCATTACAAAAGCGGATAAAACTCGCTCTCGATACGAAACGCATCAATGATGGGTCAGAGTTCAATTGTCATTCTCAATAAAAAGGAAAATGAGAAATAAAATAAAAGCGTGCAAAACTCGCTTTCGATCTAAAACTGGTCAACAATGTGTTTAACTCGCTTAGAACATTTTTTTAACAAATTAACATTTGGTCCAACTTGCCAACTACAAAAGCGGATAGAACTCGCTCACAATACAACACTCGTCAAAACTCAAAATCTCATATTCAAGTTCAATTGTCTTCCCAACCAAAAGAAGAAGAAAAAAGATATTTATAAATGCTAATGTCAGTGTCAAGTCGCTTTGACTGAACCGAATTAGGTTGGATACCCATGGATTTGGGTTTGATTGTGATCGTGCTTAACGAAAAGGGAAAAAATAAAGAAAAAACACTAATAAGGATGAAACTCGATCCAGATACAAAACTCGTGGTAGCGGCATTGGGAAACGATGGTGGGGAACACCTTGGATTTCGCCGACAATATTTCGATATGGGCTGCCAAATGGTGGGCAAAGGCGATGATTTGTGCAAAAAGCCATAGACGAAAAATCTAGCGAACAATAACGAAACACAAAAGAGGATGAAACTCAGTCCAGGTACAAAACTCGTGGTAGCGGCCTTTGGAAACGATGATGGGGAACAACTTAGAATTCTGCCGATAGTATTTCGAGATGGGTTGCAAAATGGTGGGCAAAGGCGATGAATTGCGTTCAAGTTAGGATACCCATGTGTTTGGGTTCAATTGTAATAATGCTCAACAAAAAGGAAAAAAAAAAAGAAAGAAAAAAAAATAAAAAAAAAACACTAAAGAGGATGAAACTCGGTCCCGATATAAAACTCGTGATAGCGGCCTTGAGAAATGGTGGTGGGGAACAACTTAGAATTCTGCCGACAGTATTTTGAGATATGTTGCAAAATGGTGGGCAAAGACGATGATTTGTGCAAAAAGCTATAGACGAAAACCTAGCGAACAATAACTAAACACAAAGGCGATGATTTGTGCAAAAAGCCATAGATGAAAACCTAACGAACAATAACAAAACACAAAGGCGATGATTTGTGGAAAAAGTCTTAGACGAAAACCTAGCGAATAATAACTAAACACAAAGGTTGTAGAATGGAGAGTGGGGTAAAAAAAGGACTTGAAACTTCCCCACTTGCACTTGAAGGAGTGTGAGAGCCACTAATAAATAGTAACTCCCATGTTAGACTTTTATATATTAATTAATAGCTTCAGTGAAATGGCACGTAATTTTAAAACAATTTCCTCGTTATAAAAGACAAGTAAGCAGTAATCTCCATGTGCAAAATCGTTGAATTGTGAGCCACAAGAGGAAAACAAGTGCTCTTGAGCAGGTTGTTCACTTCAGTCATATAAAAAAATGGAATGGATTTCTACCAAAAAAAAAAATGGAATGGAGAACGAATAAACATGATGATGTAGTAGCAAATCAATGCTAAAGTGGCAACAGGAATAGAAATCCTATTAATATAAGTATACCACTACATGTTCTATAAGTACATTTGTTGTTGTTTTGGATTTCCTTCTAGCTTGTGAAGAGCAGAAGTTGAAGAGCAGAAAGAAGGGAGAACATTAACTGGGTAATGATGAAAGAATGGCAGTGGTGGGTTTGGAGAAGTCTACAGAAAGTTAAGGCCACACCTGCTCATGGTTCTGG